GTTTCATAAAGAATGGTACCAGCTTCTCTCTTTGTATGTCTGGTAGAATTCGGCTCTGAACTCATTTGGACCTGGGCTTGTTTTTGGTTAGTAGGTTATTAATTGCTGCCTCAACTTCAGACCTTCTTAATGGTCTATTCAGCGTTTCGACTTCTCCCTGGTTTAGGCTTGGGAGGATGCAAGTGTCCAGGAATTTATCCATTTCTTCCAGGTTTACTAGTTTATGTGCATAGGGTTGTTTGTGATAATCTCTGATGATGGTTTGTATTTCTGTGGAATCTATAGTGATATCCCCTTTATTGTTATTTATTGCATCGATTTGGTTATTCTCTCTTTTTTTTTATTTTGCCTAGTGGTCTCTCTATTTTATCGATCTTTTCAAAAAACCAGCTCCTGGATTTATTGATTTTTTTGGAGGCATTTGTCTCTATCTCCTTCAGTTCTGCTCTGATCTTAGTTATTTCTTGTCTTCTGCTAGACTTTGAGGTTTTTTGATCTTGCTCCTCTAGCTCTTTCAATTTTGGTGACAGGGTGTCGATGTTTGATCTTTCTTTGCTTGTCCTGTAGGCATTTATTGCTATATATTTTCCTCTAGACACTGCTGTAAATGTGACCCAGAGATTCTAGTATGTTGCGTCTTCATTCTGGTTGGTTTCAAAGAACGTCTTTATTTCTGCCTTCATTTTATTGTTTATCCAGTCAACATATAAGAGCCAGTTGTTTAGTTTCCATGAAGTTGTGTGGCTCTGAGTTAGTTTCTCAATTCTGCGTTCTAACTTGATTGCACTGTGGTCTGAGGGACAGTTTGTTTTGATTTCCGTTCTTTTGCATTTGCTGAGGTGTGATTTACTTCCAATTATATGGTCAATTTTAGAGTCGGTGTGATGTGGTGCTGAGAAGAGTGTATATTCTGTGGATTTGGGGTGGAGAGTTCTGTAAATGTCTATTAGGTTTGCTTGGTCCAGATTTGAGTTCCAGTCCTGGGTATCATTGTTAATTTTCTGTCTCGTCGATCTAATATTGACAGTGGGGTGTTAAAGTCTCCCACTATTATTGTGTGGGAGTCTAAGTCTCTTTGTAAGTCATTAAAAACTTGCTTTATGTATCTGGGTGCTCTTGTATTGGGTGCATTTATATTTAGGATCGTTAGCTCTTCTTGTTGCATTGATCCTTTTACCGTTATGTAATGTCCTTCTTTGTCTCTTTTGATCTTTGTTACTTTAAAGTCCATTTTATCAGAGATAAGAATTGTAACTCCTGCTTTTTTTGGCCCTCCATTTGCTTGATAAATCTTCCTCCATCCCTTTCTTTTGAGTCTTTGTGTATCCTTGCATGTGAGATGGGTTTCCTGGATACAGCACACTGATGAGTTTTGGCTTTTTCTCCAATTTGCCAGTCTGTGTCTTTTGATTGGGGCATTTAGCCCATTTACATTTAGGGTTAATATTGTTATGTGTGAATTTGATCGTTCCATTTTGAGGCTAGCTGACCGTTTTGCCCATTAGTTGATGCAGTTTCCTCATTGTGTTGATGCTCTTTACGATTTGGTATATTTTTGGAGTGGCTGATACTGGTTGTTCCTTTCTATGTTTAGTGCCTCTTTCAGGATCTCAAGTAAAGCAGGCTTGGTGGTGATGAAATCTCCGAGTACTTGCTTGTTCATAAAGGATTTTATTTTTCCTTCATTTATGAAGCTTAGTTTGGCTGGATATGAAATTGTAGGTGGAAAGTTCTTTTGTTTAAGGACGTTGAATATTGGCCCCCACTCTCTTCTGGCTGTAGGGATTCTGCTGAGAGATCTGCTGTGAGTCTGATGGTCTTCCCTTTGTGGGTAACCCGACCTTTCTCTCTGGCTGCCTTGGCATTTTCTTCTTCATTTCAACCCTGGTGGATCTGACGATTATGTGCCTTGGTGTTGCTCTTCTTGAGGAATATCTTTGTGGTGTTCTCTGTATATCCTGGACTTGAATATTGGCCTGCCTTGCTAGGTTGGGGACGTTTTCCTGGATAATATCCTAAATAGTATTTTCCAGCTTGTATTCATTCTTTCCGTCACATTCAGGTACACCTGTCAAACATAGATTAGGTCTTACACATAGTCCCATATTTCTTGGAGACTTTGTTCATTCCTTTTTACCCTTTTTTCTCTATTCATGCCTTCTCGTTTTATTTCATTGAGTTGATCTTCGACCTCTGATATCCTTTCTTCTGCTTTATCAGTTCGGCTGTTGAAACTTGTGTATGTTTCACTGAATTCTCGTGTTTTTCAGCTCCATCAATTCACTTGTATTCCTCTCTTAGTTTTTTATTCTCGTTAGTATTTCATCAAATCTTATTTCAAGGTTCTTAGTTTCTTGCACTGGGTTAGAACATGTTCTTTTAGCTCACAGAAGTTTCTTATTACCCACCTTCTGAAGCCTGATTCTGTCAATTCATCACACTCATTCTCCATCCAGCCTTGTTCCCTCACTGGTGAGGGGTTGTGATCCCTTGTAGGAGGAGAGGTGTTCTGGTTTTCAGTGTTTTCATCCTTTTTGCACTGTTTTCTTCCCATGTTTCTGTATTTATCAACCTGTCATCTTTGTAGTTGACTTTCAGATTGGGTCTCTGAGTGGACGTCCAGTTTGTTGATGACGATGTTATTTCTTTCTGTTTCTTAGTTTTCCTTCTAACAGTCTGGCCCCTCTTCTGTAGGACTGCTGAGGTCCACTCCAGGCCCTACTTGCCTGGGCTTCACCTGCAGCAGCTGCAGAACAGTAAGGGTTGCTGCCAGTTTCTTCTTCTGCTATCTTTGTCCCAGAAGGATACCCGCCAGATGTCAGTTTGAGCTCTCCTTTATGAGATGACTCTTTCAATATACGGGGGTTAGGGAGCTGCTCGAGGAGACAGTCTGTTCTTTATAGGAGCTCAGGTGCTGAGTTGTGAGCTCCGTTGTTCATTCAGAGCTGCTGGACAGGTACATTTAAGTCTGTTGCAGTGGAACTCATAAACCCCTTTTTTTTTCCCCCAGCTGCTCTGTCCTAGGGAGTTAGGGCTTTATTTATGAGTTTCTGTTGTGCTGCTACCTTTTTTTCAGGGCTGCCCTGCCCAGTGAGGAGGCAGCCTAGTCACTGTCTGCTGCAGAGGCTTTGCTGAATTGCTCTGGGGTCCGCCCAGCTGCCGTGTGAACTTCACTGCAGTCCTGTTTATACGGGTATAGTTAGAACTGCCTCGTCAATGGTTGCCCACCTCTGTAATGGCGGACTCTCTCTGTAATGGTGGCCTGCCTTGGCAATGGCAGGCGGCCTCAGCAATGGTGGACTACCTCTGTAGTGGTGGACTGCCTCGGTAATGGCAGGCACCCCTCCCCCACTGAGTTGGACTGTCCCGGGTTCAGCTGTGCTTGCTGTGAAACTGTCATTCAGAGTTTTTCAGATTGCTGTTTTTTTGTGGGAGTTGGGCCAGCCGAGCCTGATCACCTGGCTCCCTGCCTCAGAGCCCTTTTTTTTCTTTTTTTTCTTTCAGTTAAATGGGCAACTCTGTCTCCCAGGTGTTCCAGTCGCCTGTTGAAAAGGCTCCAGGGTCTGTGTGATTTCCCATGTGGTGACCCACTGTGCCGTCTGAAACAGCCTCTCTGAGATTTGTGGCGCTTTTTTGCCTGGGAATCTCCTGGCCTGGCTCCCTGTTTCAGTCCCCTTTTTTATCAGTTCAATGGGTGACTCTATCTCCCAGGAGCTCCAATCACCAGCTAAAATGGTGCCTGGACCCATGTATTTTGTGTGGATTACCACAGTGCTGGCCAAAACAGCTTTGCTGGCGACTTGTGGGACTCCTCCACTTGGGAATCTCCTGGTCTGTGGGCAATAAAAATACGTCTGGAAATGCGGCGTCCACTCACCATCTGTGCTTTTGCTGGAAGCTGCAATGCTGAGCTGCTCCTAATCAACCATCTTGGATCTATTCCTTGTGAAGGGGACATTATTATGTGTACTTGTAGATTTTTCTGCTTTCATTTTATTGTATATATAATTTTTATTATATACAGGTTTATTACATATATGCAAACAATAAGAATGAACTCCTTTGCTCTGTGTGTGTTCATTCTTTCAATCCCTTTATTTCTTCAACATATACCAAATACCTTTTATGTAGCAGACACATTCTTCCATCTTTCAGGACCCCCTTCCATCCTTAAAAATTTAATTTATCTGCCCAGCCTGAGCAAGCTGAGAGATTTAAAATTGGACTATTAGGGTTAAATCTCAATTGAAGTTTTCTTCTCTTTTTTCAAATGAAAGTATTTCTGAAGGTAGAAAACATTTGTAAAAGATAACCTTTAAATATCTTTCTGAAAATTTAAATTTAGTTCAGAGAAGTTTAAGTACCGACAGTGTTAAACACTACTATTAATTTTTGGAAATACTTGATTCAATACATTCTATAAATCTAAGTACTAACAAAATAGGTGTGCCTATTCATTTGAATCCTGAGTTTTCTTTGGCTTTAAGTTTTCTGAAAAAGTAAGAATTACTTTGTTTTAAAAATGTGTTGTTATTTTCATTTTAGCCCTCTTTCTGTCGTACTTCTAAGAAAATGTATTTAGATACCAATCATATGAGTAGAGCTGCCTGTTCTATATACCATATCTCAGTGTAAGGCACTGTGAATTATGGGATGCCCCATTATTTTATGTATCAGTAAGAAAATGTTTAAAATACTGCCAGTAGGCTGGGCATGGTGGCTCACACTTGTAATCCCAGCACTTTGGGAGGCTAACGAGGGAGGATCACCAGAGGTCAGGAGTTTGAGACCAGCCTGTCTAACATGGTGAAACGCCATCTCTACTGAAAATACAAAAAATAACCCCGGCATGATAGCATGCCCCTGTAATCCCAGCTACTCAGGAGACTGAGGCAGGAGAATCGCTTCAACCCAGGAGTCAGAGGTTGCAGTGAGAGGTTGCAGTGAGCTGAGATCACGCCATTGCACTCCAGCTTGGGCAGCAAGAGCAAAACTCCATCTCAAAAATAAATAAATAAAATGAAATGCTGCCAATGTTAGTCTTAATAAATCATGAATTAAAAGCAGGATTCCAAAGTCAGAAATGTTAAAATGTGACAAAATGAGCTTCTTAGTTGAAATACAATGATACCTCTAATCCTTAAAACATATTTCAAAGTAGGTATAATTGTAATGTTTTACTTAATTAAAATGTTTTTGTAAGTAGTAATGCTTAACGATTATTGAGCTGTTATTTGTGCTGAGAACTGTTGTAAATGCTTTGTATAGATTCTCATGTAAGCATCACACTGGGAGATAGCTACTATTCTCATCTGTATTTTACTAATGAGGAAATTGAGGCTCATACGGGCTCGCCAGTACTGAATGAGTGACAGAGCTTAAAGTAGGAATCAAGCCCAAATTGAACTGAATCCAAAGGCTAAGCCCTTTCTATTAAGCAACCTGCTCTTTCATTATTACGGTAGGTAATAAGTGCTAAGAAAGATTGAACTTTCTTCACAGAAAAGTAACTGTTAGTTTTTAAGGTAAAGGGATAACATACTATTTGATGTTTACAATTAAATGCATCATTGTTTGGTTTGGGATAGTGCACTACAATTGCCTAAAATGTCCTCTCACTCTAATAGGACTGCTCTACATTGGGCGTGTGCCCATGGCCATTCAGGAGTGGTAACTCATTTGGTGGCTAGAAAATGCCAGCTTAACCTCACTGACAGTGAAAACAGGACAGCTCTGATCAAGGTATATGGTAGTCAACTATATATATACTATATATATATGGAATGGATTTAATTTAAAATCACAGAATAAAATGAATTAATCTCATTGGAATATAACTAGTTGGTGAATCATGTGGAAGATTTCCTAGAATTTACAATCTGTTTCTTGGTCTAATACTGACAGGCTGTACAATGTCAGAAAGAGGTTTGTGCATCTATCCTCCTGGAACATGGCGCCGATCCAAATATTACAGACATATATGGCAACACTGCCCTGCACTATGCCATTGACAATGAGAATATATCAATGGCGGGAAAACTGCTTGCATATGGTGCAGATATTGAAGCAAGAAGCCAGGTATAGATCAACCAGTGTTCTATTCAAAGTATTTCAAGTGTATTTGTTTTACTATTAACATATGTAAGGGTCAGTTTTCTATATTTGGAAGCTCAAGTACTCCCTAAGTGAAGATACTTTTAAATAATGTAATTGTCTAAGATTTTACTATAAATATGGAAGCTTTTAAACCACTAGAGAATGCAGCTTTTATTTATGCACTTATAAATATTTGTGAAAACACAGAATTTGTGAAAGGTAATACTTTAAAACATTTTTCCACTCAAGTTTTTTTTCCCCCAATTAGCATAAGGTGACACAGAAAAGCAAAATTTGCCCTTAAATCTCAAAGAAAATTAAAGTATTTTACAATCAAAATAATCCTTGCTACTGTTGACAGTTTTTCCCCAAAAAAATAATTTATGTGAGAGCAATTGATTGCTCTTGGTCAAGGGCACAAGATGGAAAGGTTGGACAGGGTAAAGAACAGCCATCAGAAATATGCATGCTGATTTGGACATTAGGTAATGAGAACAAATACTGAGAAGAGGGTTTTTTCTTTTTTGTTTAGTTCCAGTGTATATGTCTAGACAAGGTTCTCTTCAGTTTGGGGAATAATAAGTCTTAGTTTGGGAGAGTGAATTGTAAAATTGCCTTGAGATCAATTTTGGTAGGACTCTGAGGAAACTAGATTGACATGAATGGGTGCTGATTGAAGTAGGAAGCAGTTCAGCAGAGGGAAGAACACATAATTAATGGACATTATTCTATTCTGGCATTTCTGTCAGTCACTTAGATAAGCATCTAAATTGCACTCTGAAGTCTACAATATATTGATGGAAGATGGGAGATGAGGAGTTACAAACAGCAAAATCAAGTTGGATTTTGAGTTTACTAGTCCCTGTTTCACCCTAGGCAGGAAAATTGAATGGAGTGTGCAGTGAATGACTGTCTCTTACTCTTTCTTCTTTTTGGCCAAATCCCTAAATGATAAAGGGAATTAGTCATGTGGGTGAGAGATGAGACTGAAATGATTGTCTGCTGCACTGGTTCTCAGCTAGAATTGTGCATCACAGTAACCTGGGGACAGTAAAACGAAATATACAAGTCTCAGCTCTCTCCTGAAGATTTTGATATAGTAAATCTATTAAAGCCTCAAAATGGATGTTTAAGAATATTTCCTTGAAGCCAGGCCTTGTGGTGCATGGCTGTAGTCCCACTTACTTGGAGGCTGAAGTGGGAGGATTGCTTAAGCCCAGGTTAATAGAGTGAGACTCTGTCTTTAACAGCAGCAGCAGCAGCAGCAGTAGCAGCAGCAGCAGCAGCAGCAGCAGCTAATACCACAAAATTACTTGATGTTCTCGTACACTTCTAGATAAGAACGAACTGAACAGATAAGTGTAATAGAAATTTCCCTATCTCAAAAACGTAAGAAATTTCTAAAGAGTTCGGAGTTTGATAGGCACTATAAATACTTCCTTTAAATTCCTTCTTTCAATATTAGGCTGACTTTCATCTTTCTCAACCTCTGTGGGTGGGAAGTTCAATTGAATATTATTTGTAACATCTTAATAGCTTAAAGAATAATACCTTTTCCTTGACACCATTGAATGTTCACTGCCATTCAGAAGGTCTTTAGAAATTGCTTTGGGATAGTATTATTTTTTAATTTTTTAATTTTTTATTGCGTTTTAGGTTTTGGGTTAAATGTGAAGAACATGCAAGACTGTTGCATAGGTACACACGTGGCAGCGTGCTTTGCTGCCTTCCTCCCCTTCACCTATATCTGGCGTTTCTCCCCATGCTATCTCTACCCAACTCCCCACCCCTAACTCTCCCTCTCCTGTTTCCCCCCAGCAGACCCCAGTGTGTGATGCTCCCCTCCCTGTGTCCAAGTGTTCTCCTTGTTCAACACCCGCCTATGAGTGAGAACATGCGATGGTTGATGTTCTATTATTGTGTCAGTTTGCTGAGAATGATGGTTTCCAGGTTCATCCATGTCCCTACAAAGGACACAAACTCATCGTTTTTGATGGTTGCATAATATTCCATGATGTATATGTGCCACATTTTCCCTGTCCAGTCTATCATCGATGGGCATTTGGGTTGGTTCCAGGTCTTCGCTATTGTAAACAGTGCTGCAATGAACATTCATTTGCATGTGTCCTTATAGTAGAATGATTTATAATCCTTTGGATATATACCCAGTAATGGGATTGTTGGGTCAAATGGAATTTCTATTTCTAGGTCCTTGAGGAATCGCCACACTGTCTTCCACAATAGTTGAACTAATTTACACTCCCACCAACAGTGTAAAAGTGTTTCTATTTCTCCACATCCTCTCCAGCATCTGTTGTCTCCAGATCTTTTAATGATCGCCATTCTAGCTGGCAAGAAATGGTATCTCAATGTATTTTTGATTTGCATTTCTCTGATGACCAGTGATGATGAGCATTTTTTCATGTTTTTTGGCTTCATGTATGTCTTCTTTTGTAAAGTGTCTGTTCATATCCTTTGCCCACTTTTGAATGGTGTTGTTTGTTTTTTTCTTCTAAATCTGCTTTAGTTCTTTGTAAATTCTGGATATCAGCCCTTTGTCAGATGGGTGGACTGCAAAAATTTTTTCCAATTCTGTTTGTTGCCGATTCACTCTAATGACTGTTTCTTTGGCTGTGCAGAAGCTGTGGGGTTTGATTAGGTCCCATTTGTCTATTTTGGCTTTTGTTGCCAATGCTTTTGGGGTTTTAGTCATGAAATCCTTGCCTACGTCTATGTCCTGAATGGTTTTGCCTAGATTTTCTTCGAGGGTTTTTATGGTGTTAGGTCTTATGTTTAAGTCTTTAATCTATCTGGAGTTAATTTTAGTGTAAGGTGTCAGGAAGTGGTCCAGTTTCTGCTTTTTGCACATGGCTAGCCAGCTTTCCCAACACCATTTATTGAACAGGGAATCATTTCCCCATTGCTTGTTTTTGTCTGGTTTGTCAAAGATCAGATGGTTGTAGATATGTTGTGTTGCCTCCGAGACCTCTGTTCTGTTCCATTGGTCTATATCTCTGTTTTGGTACCAGTACCATGCTGCTTTGATTACTGTAGCCTTGTAGTGTAGTTTGAAGTCTGGTAGTGTGATGCCTCCTGCTTTGTACTTTTTGCTTAGAATTGACTTGGCTTTGTGGGCTCTCTTTTGGTTCCATATGAAGTTTAAGGTGTTTTTTTCCAGTTCTCTGAAGAAGGTAGCTTGATTGGGATAGCATTGAATCTGTAAATTACTTTGGGCAGTATGGCCGTTTTCACGATATTGGTTCTTCCTAAGCATGAACATGGAATGTTTCTCCATCTGTTTGTGTCCTCTCTTATTTCATTGAGCAGCGGCTTGTAGTTCTCCTTGAAGAGGTCCTTTACGTTCCTTGTTAGTTGTGTTCCTAGGTATTTTATTCTCTTTGTGGTGATTGTGAATGGCAGTTTGTTCTTGATTTGGCTCTCTTTAAGTCTGTTATTGGTGTGTAGCAATGCATGTGATTTTTGCACATTGATTTTGTATCCTGAGACTTTGCTGAAGTTGCTTATCAATTTCAGGAGATTTTGGGGTGAGACGATGTGGTCTTCTAGATATACAATCATGTTGTCTGCAAATAGAGACAATTTGACTTCCTCCTTTCCTATTTGAATACCCTTTATTTCTTTTCAATCAATTCAATCAGCAATCTTGCCTGATTACTCTGGCTAAAACTTCCAGTACTATACTGAATGGAAGTGGTGAAAGAGGGCATCCTTGTCTAGTGCCAGGTTTGAAAGGAAAGCTTCCAGTTTTTGCCCATTCAGTATGATATTGGCTGTTGGTTTGTCATAGATAGCTTTTATTATTTTTAGATACATTCCATCAATACCTAGTTTATTGAGGGTTTTTAACATAAAGGGCTGTTGAATTTTGTCAAAGGCCTTCCCTGCATCAGTTGAGATAATCATGTGGTTTTTGTCTTTGGGATAGTTTTTAATAAGCAGAGGCTGACCCTTTCAGGGTTTTGTGTCTCTTAGTTGTCATTCAGGTGAGTAGGCCAAGAAATCATTGTTATAAGCAGGTTCTCCCATTAGAATAGTAGCACATTTTTGACCTTTTTTAAAAGTTGAAGCTGTATTATGGACTATCTCAGTATGTTATTAGATTTGTAGTTTTGGCATGGTTAGGATGGCAGTTTTAAACACTGAAAACCATGTAGTTAGTAAGAATTCAGATAGGTATTCTTTCAATAACTTAGTTACAGCAGTCCTGTGAACTAGTTATCCATTTTTTTAAATGAGCTGGGAAAGTTAAATACAAATAGAATGTAAATGAACGAATGTTGGAAAAGTTCTTGAAGTGGCAATTATGAATCTTAATGGCAATTTTTATTGCATTTTTGGGCCTGACTTTTTTGTTAAAACATCTGAAACTAAAAGGAAATATTTTACATACAAATATTTGCTTTACATACAACAATTTAAAAATACATTCATAGCAAATATGAAAACACAAGGTCTGTAGTCTAAATGTGCCCCATAGATTTAGTTTAGTTTACCTCTATAAGATGTGTCAACATGTAAAAATTTAGACAACTCATACACAGATCTAGATTTCAGGCTTCTCTTAGAGGATCACATCTGAATTCCCTTGAGCTCATATCAGTGTCATTATGCTGTGCAGAGGTTACCCCGTTATGTGAGGCATATGTGCTCCCGTCTGCTACTGTGCCTTGCAGATACCCTAGGAGGGGTATCTGAAAGGGAAGGAACAGCATGTGGGCAAGCACCGTGGAGTGAGAAGGAAGTGATTGCTTTTTATTTACTTTCTACTTCATACGTTTAAGTTCATAGGATCTTACATAAGGTTTTCAGCTCAATTGAGAAATATGTAATTTTGTGAATTATAAATTGTTTTTGCTGCTTTACAGGGTGAACTTACATCACTTTTACTTGCCATAAATAGGAAAAAAGAGCAAATGGTGGCATTTTTGTTGAAGAAAAAACCAGATTTAACTGCTGTAGATAATTTTGAAAGGTACAATAGTTCTTTTCTTGTTCATTTTTAAACCTGAGTGGTGTTCTAGAGTGGAAACAGTCACTTGTCAGAAATATTAAATTGATAAGATTAACTTATTATTATTGGGTTAGAGAGAAATATCAACACAAATCATCAAGTAAACAATTATTTACACTGGGCAACATAAAAAATCTGTATTGTAGGATTCATCTTCCCTTATTATATTGACCATTGACAGATGAGGTAATATTTTGAGTGATATGATCTTACATTAACTAAAGGGATTTCATATTGGTTTTATTTGTTTTAAAATTGTGGACTTCAACTTTTAGTTTACTTTGACTCAATATTGAAATTTCTTAACTCTCTTATAGTAGTTTTAACCTTTGCTTTTTACATACTTTTTCTTTAAAAATAGTATGTTAAAGATAAATTAGAGTTGAAAATCATTTTGTCTTTTGGATGACTTTGCTTTAGTTTGCTTTGTCTCAAGAATCTTAATGTTAGGTTATTCCTAAGTGACTATTAATTGCTATTGCGAGATACTGTGTGTTCATTGGGTTTTTTTTCTTCTTTTTACTTCTAGTGTATTTTTATATTATTTTTAATTAGTATGGGCAGAGGGCAAAAAGATAGCTTTAAATGGATAAGCTTTTCTTTTCATGAATACAAGCCATGTGTGGCTGACAATGAGAAAAAAAAAGGATAAGCTTTAGATTCACGTAAGACTGGGTTTAATTCATCGCTTTTCTACTTGCTAGGTGTGTGACCTTGGGAACAGTACTTATCACCAAGTATGTTTTCCTATGTGAAAAAGAGAAAATAATATCTCTTTCAATGATGGTTGTTTATGAGTAACGTACATATATATGGCATTTAATTTAGTGTCTCTCACATGATTATCAGTATCATTAACTGAAACTATTGTGGCTATTACTAGCATTATTTTTATTGTTTTAAACCTACAGATAGCTCTTACTTACCCCAAGCTGATTTTGAATTACAATATATCAGACTAGGGCAGAAATGGATAATTCATTACTTAAATGTTTAGCTACTTTAGATAAGTGACCTGAGCATAGCATCCTGGTCATCAAAGCACTTTATTTTAGCAACTTCTTCTGTGTCATATCCCAGTTGGACAAGACGCTTTCTTGTTGTGCCTTCCTTTTGGCTTTGGTTGCAATTTACAAACATGAACCCTTGAGCACCCAAGATGCTTGTGTTTATTAGAATACATAATTGGTTAATTCTACATGGTTAGACAAGATATTAAATTGGTAAAGTATATAAATATAGTTTTTAGTATAACTTTGCTAAAGTTCCTAAACATGAAATTATCTCTCTGTTATTTTAGAACAGCCCTCATACTTGCTGCTCGTAGTGGATCAACAAGTATAGTCCACCAGCTTCTTCAGCAAAATATTGATGTTGTTTTCCAAGATATATCTGGATGGACAGCAGAAGACTATGCTGTTGCTTATAACTTTCGAGAGTAAGTGTGTAAAAGGCCACTGAACAGTAAATTGAGGCTTAAAATAATTGTAACCATTGCATCTTATACATCAGGTGAGATCTCATAGTTTGGTTCAGATAGGTTTGGAGTGGCAGTGAGTTAGTCCACTTCATCAGCCAGAAATTAAGCATAAGACTAGACTAGTTAGAAGTAGCAATGAGTGCAGGATTCTTTAACTCAAGACTCTTAAAAAAAAGACTTTTATGCTTAGGGATCCTAATGTTTTCCATTTCATTCCAAGTATAACCCCTGTGCATGGGATAAAATAGTTTCACATCTTTGATTTTTACAGTTAGTTATTTGAATCTTGAAATGTCCAGTTTATCAGAAAATGTTGGACTATCTCCTGGGAGCTGTCTTCTATACCCTCTACCTTGAATATTTCAAGAACCTATGAGGTCTCCTAAGTCCAAAGAAGACAATCATGTTTTACAAGTCAGTAGGAGTGGAAAGGGGAGGATATTCTAATTATTCTGATGTTTTCATGGATTCTGTTAACTGGTTTTTGCTATTGAAACTACTCCTGCAGTCTGGTAAAGATTGACCTTTGCCACAAGAATGCCCCTCCTGATTCAGATCTCTCATTCTTTATAGTAATCTATACATAGTCTTCCAAGTCACAACTTGTTCACATAAATATGCTTATATGCTCAGCCATTGTTTCCAAAGCACCAGTGCCCTGCTCTGGCTTCTAGACATACCAGCTTTACCCACACACATAGTGAGCAAATTGACCCTTCCTTCCATACTCAAAACCTCATGTGGAGCCCACATCATAGCCTGGAATCTAGAATCCTAGATATTGATGGTAAGTTATTCTTTGAGTCCCTTGTTTGTCTTCTTTCCAGCAAATATTAGTTGGGATAGTTCTAAGCTGTTAGAGATGTTCAGATAGTGTTGCAGAAAGATATCAAAGTTTTTTCTTCTTTGCTACCAGATTTTTACCCCAAGCCCCTTTATATCTTATGTAGCAGCTTTTCTTAGACAGTGGAAGGTCCCATGTTATCCTTTCCCAGAGCAGTGGGCACCAACTTGTGGCTGGCCCCTCAAAGAATCTGTTTTCCGTAATAAAAATCTCCCAAGCTACTTGCTTCTCTATATCAAGTTTTTTAAATATCTTCAAATTCTACCTCATAGGAAGCCATTCATCAGAATTACCTGAGTCTCAGGTAGGTGAGTTGGACTGAACAGAGCCAAGCTTCATCCATGATTCATCAGCATCCATTTATAAAAGTAGGGCTTTGTGCTTGCTTCAGCAGCACATATACTAAAACTGGAACAATACAGAGAAAGTTAGCATGGCCCCTACATAAGCATGCCACACTAATCTGTGAAACATTCCATATTTCACACAGTTACAAAAAGGTAAGCTGACTAGTTTGCTGACAAGTTTCCAGAAAACAGTGTGAGTCAGAGCAAAACAGGTGCTAGCCAATAGTGAAATTACACATTTTTATTACAAAAACATTGGTATAAGGTAATTTATGAAATGAGAATGGAGCTGAGTAATCCATGGTGTGTTGTGTGCAAATATATTGGTAGTATGTATCTCAGAAATGAGAAAATACCCACTTACATCTCCTTCATGAAACTTAAAAAAATTAGGGTTTTTGTTTTCTGTGTCAGTTTGAGATGAACATGCTCCGAGAGAAAGGATCATCCTAACAAAGATCCACTGGTTCAGAGTTAGAGTCATGTTATCTATTCTAATGAGACAATGTATTTATTAATAAATTTAATTACAGACACAAACTATGAAATAATTGAGATGTCTTGAATCATAAGCCACAAATAATAGAACAACTAATAAGCAAAATTAAGGCTTAACATTTTCAAAAGATCATAACATTTTAATATTAAGACATATGGGAAACTACACATTGGGTTTCATTTGGAATTCCAAAATATTTCAACAATAAAGTTCAAGAATAAATTATTCCATTGCTTTATTGTTTCTCTGAGCACATTAAAATGTTATTTCATTAAACATAACAACCTAGTGAATAAGGTAGCAAAACCTTCATTCTTTAGAAGAAGACATTGAGCCTAAGAGAAGGAACTTGTCCAAGAACAAATACATGTTGGTTACAGAGCTAGGACTTATAAGTCAGATCGTTTTCCATTATGTCAACCTTACATGTTAATTTACTGAGTTTTACTGCCCTCACTTCATGAGTACTTTACTTTTTTCTTCTTTAATTAGAAGCTTAATAAGAATTTTGTAGAGGTTAAAAACTAAAAGAATATGGGATAAAGTTCTGATATTGTTTGATATACTCTAAGAATTTAATGTATCCAGTAAATGTTTTTCACATCAGCATTAAAATAGTAATTGTATTTACTACATTTTTATGCATAGCATTCGCAGACTAATTTCTGAATATCAAGCAAACAAGAAACGTAAAAGTCTTCAAAATAGCAATCCAGGTAAGACTTCTGACAGTGCATTCCTCTTGATGATCCTATCATAGATAAAAAAGTAAGAGGAAGAAAGTGATCACAAAACAGCAGTTTAAAAAAACCACTGTGTAAATTGAATGTATATTTTTAAATTACTTTCTTGGTAATCTAGATTTCAGAATTATTTAAAAGGCTACTTGTAGGCAATTTATAATCTCAAGCCATATTATGTGAAAAAACAATTCATTATCGTATTTTCTAAAACTCTAGATGATATTTTTGTGTAAATAAGAAAAAAGATTTTTAAGTTAGCATGTAGTATGTTTTCTTTATAGTCACTTTGACAAATTGGACTTGTAAAATTGGATATTCTAATCTGTAAAATAAGTCCTTTGTATTTAGTAAATACATCTTTGAGCAGTGTGGGATTTAGGGGTACCAGTCACCTATTCACTTTGAAATCTGTGTATAACTTTAGACTCCCCCTATAACTTAACTGCTCATGGCTCATCATTGACTGGAAGCCTTAGTGATTATAAAGTCAATTAAGACATATTTGTTATATCTGAATTATTGTTATATGTGTTATATACTGTATTGTTAATACAATAAGCTAGAGAAAAAGAAACATAAAATCATAATGAAGAAAGAATATATTTTCATTCAGTGGAAAGTGGATCATCGTAAAGCTTTCATCCTCAGTGTCTTCAAATTGGCTAGACTGAGGAGGAGGAGGAAGTAGATGGAGATTGATCTTGCTGTCTCAGGTGGCAGGGGCAGAAAAAAATCTGCAGATAATTGGCCCCAGCAGTTCAAACCTTTGTTATTCAGAGTTCAACTCTGAAAGAGTGATTTGTGTCACTGAAAAAGTAACGCTCTTCAAAACCAGAATTTCAATGAGACTTTTCTGGTACCATGAAGAAACATCCATAAGAACTGTACCAATACCAATAGGATATTATTTTTTAAAGATACCTACTGTGTGAAGTTAGAAAATAAATTCCTTATTGAGAAGCACAGGTCATGTTACATATTCTTATATCAACAAGGTCTCGCTAGTATTGACTTAATTTCCCCCAAGTGGAAATCAAATGAGATACATTTACTTTGTTAGAATGAGATTTGTTCCATCTGCTAGTTAATTGTCATAACATCAATTTTGTTAGAAGAAGACATTCTGTTACCATTAGCTAAAATATTATTATAATAAAACATGGGTAGGATTAAGGTAAGCATGCAGAGTGAGTAGGCATTTGCCAGGTAAAGAAGCCAAAGAATGATGGTTGACAAAAGGAATATCTAACAAGATTGTATGTTTGGCAGAAGGAACAGCTAAGAAGATCGCACATTTCCCAAAAGGAAAAGCAAGTGCAAAAGGTAAGATGCTTGAGGGAACTTCACAGAGTTTATGAGAAGTTAGTACAATTAGTATAATATGAGAGTGGTTGGGAATGATTTGAATACCTAGCTAAGTTAAGCTTAGGAAACACTTTTTAAACATATTGAAATGAAATAGATCTTATCCATAGGCCATGGAAAAATTCTTAGAGTGCTTGTGACTGCAAACATTAGATGATGTAACTAACAATAGCTAAAACAATGGGAGCCAAAGTTGTTTTGGTGGTTCAGCGATACCATCCTATCTCACTTGTCTCTTTCAGCTGTGCAATTGGCAGTGTTTTGTTCATATCTCCTTTCATGGTTGGCTACTTAGCAATAGCTTCAAACATCATGTTCTCACAAGAGAGTATCTAAAGGCTGAAGGGTTACTTTTTTTCAAGTGTTCCTTTTAGAAAAGGAAGAAAAGTCAGAAGCTTGCATTGGACCTCCTGTGACATTTTATTGGCTTGATTATACCAGCTGCTCATTCCTAAACCCGGCACTGGAAAAGCAAATGTAATTACTGTGATTTGCTTAGAATAATTATTTCTCTTTTTGGAGCTTGGAGGGATATTGGATGATGAATATCCAGGTAAACTTGGATTTCTCCAGCTAGAAAAAATAAGGAATGGCTACTTGATAGGGAACCAGCAATGTTTGTTGCAGAGAATCACTAGAAATTTTTCAGAAGGGAAGTCACAAGATTTGAGGATTAGGGCATTCTGGTTATGGTATAAAGCAAGGATTGGCATGCTTTTTCTGTAAAGGGCCAGATAGGTAATATTTTAGGCTGTGTAGTCTCTGTCATAGCTACTACTGCCATTGAAGTGTGAAAGCAGGCATAGATAGACTGTGCTCCAAAAAAAGTTTATGTACAAAACCATATGGCAGGCTGGATTTGGCCTGTGACCTGTAGTTTGCTGACCCCTCACTTAGAAGTTAGTGAAAGGTAACCACGTAGACTGGGAGACAAAGGAAACTTTGGCCATATTCAAAGCTATAGTTTCCTTATCACCAGTCTTTGCACTAGTCTTAATCTACTATGAGGCTTTCACCGACCCAAGGTGAAATAATTATAAGCAGCTCAGTGTATTCACTTTAAAATGTTCATTTTTTTCTTGCCCTTATTCTCTCATTTTTTTCTGTTTTTTTTTTTTTTTTTTTTTTTAGAAAATATTAATAATTGGTAGAGTTTGTTTTTCCCTTGTGAAAGACATCAGTTTAGAGGCCATGTTTAACTAGAAAAATATAAACATATTTATCTTGGGCCGGGCACGGTGGCTCAAGCCTGTAATCCCAGCACTTTGGGAGGCTGAGGCGGGTGGATCACGAGGTCAAGAGATCGAGACCATCCTGGTCAACATGGTGAAACCCCGTCTCTACTAAAAATTCAAAAAATTACCTGGGCATGGTGATGCGTGCCTGTAATCCCAGCTACTCAGGAGGCTGAGGCAGGAAAATTGCCTGAACCCAGGAGGTGGAGGTTGCGGTGAGCCAAGATCGCACCATTGCACTCCAGCCTGGGTAACATGAGTGAAACTCCGTCTCAAAAAAAAAAAAAAAAAACATATTTATCTTGTGGCAGTGGAAATATAAATCCAAGGCACAGTTAATATGATTTAGTGATTGTTGAAGGTAAAATGTTAGATGGCAGAGAGAAATCTTAGATTATAAGTTTTGAAGTTGTGCACTAACATTTATACTATATTAGAGGAACAGGGAATTTCAGGCGAATAGAGAAGTGTAAGGAAGAGGAAAGACAAATGTGAGTTTAATGGAACAATCATAGAGGATATTTTTTGTAGGTAATTGGATAATAGGTATTTCTAGCTGGAGATGAAACTCTGAGGTGGGAGTTGCCAACATAGAACGATCCTGTTATAATTATTAAGCAAACTCATAGATCTCAATGAGCTGAAGTTGTATAATGACAAGAAAGCCAGTGACAGAACCCTAGGCATAGCAACATTTTCCAAAGGAAAAGGGCGTGAGTAAGGGAGAATGAGCAGTAGCTAGAGAAATGTAGGAGAGGAGTCAGAGGAAGTGGTGTTGCAGAAATTTAAAACGTGAGAATTTCAAGAAGGTAATATCAATTCTAACAATTAAGATTACTAAAAAGTAAAATGGATGTAACTTTGAAAAGCTCTTTGGTGGTACCCTTTCCAAAAGAATCATTTTAGAGTTGTAAGGTTTACTATAGATTTGATTGATACTTCTGGTGTTCAAATATGAAAGAACAAATCTACCAAGATCCCACCTAACTTTTTGGTAACTACAGCAGCTATGTACAAGGGGTCAGGGAAGATAATTTAGACTGATGAGTGCACGTGCCAACATTTTTCCACAATTGTCAAAACCTAAAGATCATGTGTGAGGAAAAGTATTGTCTTTCTTACCTGCTTCTTGTGGAAAAACTTGATTTATATTCAAGTCCTTGATAAGTTCCTCTGGATACGTTTTGAAGCTTAAATATGGTAGCAGCAACTAAAACCTGCTGTCAGACACATACCCTCTCTTTGTCATGGAATTATAACACAGCCATGTTTTGACAGTTTCAAGTTTTGAACACAAGTGTAGTTTGCAGACCAGGAGTTTGGAGAAACTGACATCTTTTGTATAATATTATGGAGAAAAATATAAGAAAAATATAAGGTGATATGCTGAATATACTAGTTCTCAGCATTCTGGTGACATCAGTAGAAAAGCCAGTACTTGGTTCTTTTTCTTAGTGCAATTCCCTCTTTGTTTGCCTGTTCTGATATCAGCACTTCTACTGCTTCCTTTTGAATTTCAATCTAAAGAAAACACTTTTAGAATACATTTCTAATGACCATTGATGATGAACATTTTTTTCATGTGTTTTTTGGCCTCATATATGTATTCTTTTGAAAAGTGTCTGTTCATATCCTTTGCCCAGTTTTGAGTGGGTTTGTTTGTTTTTTTCTTCTAAATCTGTTTTAGTTCTCTGTGGATTTTGCATATAAGTCCTTTGTCAGATGGGTAGATTGCAAACATTTTTCCCATTCTGTTGGTTGCTGGTTCACTTATGATTGTTGCTTTTGCTGTGCAGAAGCTCTGGAGTTTACTTAGATACCATTTGTCTATTTTGGCTTTTGTTGCCAATGCTTTTGGTGTTTTGGTCATGAAGTCCTTGTCTAGGCCTATGTCCTGAATGGTTTTGCCTAGGTTTTCTTCTAAGGTTTTTATGGTGTTAGGTCTTATGTTTAAGTCTTTAATCCATCTGGAGTTAATTTTAGTGTAAGGTGTCAGGAAGGGGTCCAGTTTCTGCCTTCTGCATGTGGCTAGCCAGTTTTCCCAACACTATTCATTAAACAGAGAATCCTTTCCCCATTGCTTGTTTTTCTCTGGTTTGTCAAAGATCAGATGATTGTAAATGTGTGGCATTGCCTCTGAGGCCTCTGTTTTGATGCCCGTACCATGCTGTTTTCATTACTGTATCCTTGTAGTATAGCTTGAAGTCAGGTAATGTGATGCCTCCAGCTTTGTTCTTTTTGCTTAGGATTGTTCTGGCTATGTGGGCTCTCTTTTGGTTCCATATGAAGTTTAAGGTGGTTTTTTCCAGTTCTGTGAAGAGGGTCATAGGTAGCTTGATGGGGATAGCATTGAATCTATAAATTACTTTGTGTGCCACATTTTCTTTATTCAGTCTATCATGGATACGCATTTGGGTTGGTTCCAAGTCTTTACTATTGTTAACAGTGCCACAATAAACATACATGTGCATGTGTCTTTAAAATATAATGTTTTATAATCCTTTGGGCAAAAACCCAGTAATGGAATTGCTGGGTCAAATGCTGTTTCTATTTCTAGATCCTTGATGAATCGCTACACTGTCTTCCACAATGGTTGAACTAATTTACACTGCCATCAACAGTGTAAAAGCGTTCCTATTTCTCCACATCCTCTCCAGCATCTGTTGTCTCCTGATATTTTAATGATCACCATTCTAACTGGCGTGAGATGGTATCTCAATGCAGTTTTGATTTGCATTTCCCTCTAATGACCATTGACGATGAGCTTTTTTTTCATATGTTTGCTACATAAATGTCTTCTTTTGAAAAGTTTCTGTTCATATCCTTTGCCCACTTTTTGATAGGGTTGTTTGTTTTTTTCTTGTAAATTTGTTTAAGTTATTTGTGGATTCTAATTATTAGTCCTTTGTCAGATGCGTAGCTTGTAAAATTTTGTGCCCATTCAGTTGGTTGCTGGTTCACTCTAATGATAGTTTCTTTTGCTGTGCAGAAGCCCTTAAGTTTAATTAGACAAATGGGATCTAAGAGGTTCTGTTTTGATGCATTTCCAGGATTTGTTTCAAGAGGTGGCCCTTCTTGCAGTGGTGGCTTGGTAATGGCAATTCTGTCAGCATGTGTTTGTCTGAAAAAGACTGTAGCTTTCCTTCACATATGATGCTTAGTTTCACTGGCTACAAAATTATTGGCTGATAATTGTTTTGTTTGAGGAGGCTGAAGATAGGGCCCCGGTCCCTTCTAGCTTATAAGGTTTCTGCTGAGAAATCTCCTGTTAATCTGATAGGTGTTCCTTTATAGGTTACCTAGTGCTTCTGTCTCTTAAGATTTTTTCATTTGTCTTAACTTTGGATAACCTGATGACAGTGTGCCAAGGTGATGATCCTTTTTTCAGTTTCTCTTGTCCCACGCACGGGGTGTTCCTTGATGTAGCACTCTCCCCGTTTTCCTATGTTTGTGGCTTTCTTTGAGCCAAACTGCAGTGATTGTTTTCTGTCTTCTGGGTCTAGGCACTCAGCAAGTGTGCCTGGCTCCAGGCTGGTACTGGGGATTGTCTGCACAGTCTTATGATGTAAACTGTCTATGGGTCTCTCAGCCATGGATACCAGCCTGTTCCACTGGAGGTGGCAGGGGGTGCAATGGATTCCACGAGGGTTTTTAGTTTCAGTAGTTTAATGCTTTATTTTTGTTCTGGTTGGCCTCCTGCCAAAAGGTGGTGCTTCCCAGAGA